TCAGCAGTAGAAACCTTGCCTGCTGTATGAGACCTGAGTTTGATTCCTGGATGTACATATAACTACAGCCATAGGGGTACCATGTCTGGATTTGGTTTGGCCTTTGGATACTTTCACAATGGTCTAAAGTTGGGGTGGAAGGTTTGGGCAGCCTTCGTTCCTTTATACTCATGCTTAAGCATACACATCAAAGATCTTGGTGACCTCTTATGCACTCATCATGATCCAGAAGGATCAACAGTTGCCTACTACTACTTCAATTCTGCTTCTATTATCCTCCTAAAAATAACATAAAGGCAGAAGGAGCCAACTTTTATTCTGGTTCATACATTGTCATCTTGGTGAGACTTGCTCTCTAGGTTCCAAATATATGGCCAAATTTTCTCCCTGGAGCTTTGACATGCTACTAGAAAAAATATGGCTTGTATGTATGTAATTGAGCTGAGTATGTCAAGATGTTAGACCTGTTTCTTTATTGGTTCTCACTGGGTTCTACATGAGACACTAAACGTGTAGTAGACTAATTCTACTGCGCATTAGCTCATCGTGGCAAAAACTGTGCTAATGCTCAGTCTTCTGTGCATTAGTGCCACTAAAATGGTGCTACTGTGCATTGGATCAGTACCTGTTATTACAGGTGATAAACTTAATGCGCAGTAACTACGGCGCATGAATGCACATGTAGATGTACCCACTCTGTGATTCAGGTGCAGAATGTTGTGCCCCTGTATGAGCTTGTTCATTGCACAGCAAACTAGTGGACACCTACCTGCATGTTACAGTGCATCTTGTGTCAGACACATTGCACCCCACTCCATTCCCATAGCTACCAGTCCTCAGTAACAGTGATCCCCCTCATCTCTGCTGCACAAATGCTGAAGTAACCTGGGTAGCTGAACTCTATGATAATCCTATGCTGCCAGTGCACTGGGACATATTCCACCCCTCAACAGCTTGGCTCCCATCAAGACACCCAGTACAGTCCACCCTTTCAAAATCCTTTGACTTTTCCTTAATTACTCAATGGCACGAAGAGTGGTCAGCACAAGCACCAATCCATCACCACATCATCTCTGACCCTATGGTCAGTCAAC